AGCAATGTTGACAGTTGCCAGCAATGTTGACAGTTAACAACAATGTTGGCAGTTAACAACAATGTTGGCAGTTAACAACAATGTTGACATTTACCAGCAATGTTGACAGTTACCAACAATGTTGACAGTTACCAGCAATGTTGACAGTTACCAACAATGTTAACATTTACCAACAATGTTGACAGTTACCAGCAATGTTGACAGTTACCAACAACCAGTTACCTTTTATACATTAATTCTTCACAATCATTCTAGTTACAATTGTCATACTCAGTTATGGATTTTAAAACCAGAGCACAGAAAAAAAGAATCATCAAAACTGAACACTAACAAATAACAAAGATGCTGATAATTACCTATAGTCAAATTGTTGACAACCAATGTTGACATTTACCAACAATGTTGACAGCTACCAGGAATGTTGACAGTTACCAACAATGTTGACAGTTACCAACAACCAGTTACCTTTTATACATTAATTCTTCACAATCATTCTAGTTACAATTGTCATACTCAGTTATGGATTTTAAAACCAGAGCACAGAAAAAAAGAATCATCAAAACTGAACACCTCAAGAATGAGGGCATACTTCACCCAATCATATAACCACAGTGGGACATATTCAGCCCAGCAACATCGCGACTAAAATTCAGTTGTCTTCATTATATGTTGGGAAACTATTTAACAGATGTGAGTTTAAGGTAGCGAGATTATTATTTGTGCTGAAAATTAGGATTTTCACATTTATTTATTAATTGATGAAATGCACTATAAACTTTTATTTGATAAAGTCAACGTAACCTAGAATGTCATGCAAGTTGGTTAAAATGTAGATTTTCTGAAGGGAAGCAAGGCAGCTTCAGTAGTGTTTTCCAAAATCAACAACACAGGTTTAATCTCTGTGTCTATAAGTTTCAAAGATTAACTCAAGACAAAGCAATGTTAGGATGTGATTGAAAATCTTTGCTGTGACTTCATGGATGTTTTCTAGGAGTTTATGTTTTTCAAAATACAAGGTCTTTAACAGAAAATAACGTATACTTATTGTCGTCGGATTAACACCAAATTTTCACAGCTTTAAGGTGACAATGAGAGGAACTTGAATGTGTCCAGACAAACTATTTCATGGATTATTTACCAATATGTTGTGGTTTGAGTTGGGGGCAATGTGACTAAAACAGAAATTAAAATTCAGAACACTACTTTTCAAAACGCGTTGCTTGAATAAACTGATCAGACACCTTCAATTTACCAGACTATTGAACAACTAGGAAAAGTGAAAAAAAAAACTTCTTATCACCAGCATAAATGCGTAATTATTTTTTTTACAAAAAAAGTAATTTTTCACTTTTGATTAAGTAACGCGCCGTAGAATGCAGATACGGGCATGGCAAACACCTTTGAAAAGCTTGAAGTCTCGCGATTCCAAAAATATATACTTTCCTGGGTCTATTTGTAGTCATTTGGTCACAATTAAAAGATGAAAACAAGTATGCAAATAATAGTCCCGCTACCTTAAGCTTGAAATTATTCATCCCGGGAGTGGGGTGGGGTATAAGGTGAAAATTTAAATTTATCCAACACCAAGAATTTATCACACTCTTATAACTCGGCTTAGTTTCTATATCCAGAATAATGTACTAATTAACTAATGAACAATGAAGACAACAACAACAATCATGTTGCACATACAATAGAAAGCAGACGATTATTTTAAAGCCGGTAATTATTATGTTCAAAGAACGCTTTATTTAACGCTCTTTAAATCAAAACGTCAATAAAATAAGAAACACTGCTAGAATAGTAATGTGTTGCAAGAAACTTCGCATAAAAACATTGAACTTCAACAACCTGACATGACAGACCATGCCGCGAGCCATATGCCACCATAACGCAGAGCTGTTTATATCCGGAATGTAAGTGATTAAACGTCACAGACAAGTGACAGGGGAATAGCAACATATATAGCGATTCAACTGAAATTGGTGAGATTGTACTTACTTCAAAAAGTTCAAGAACGCTTCTTGATATCATTCTGCCATGATGCGATGATGCTCACGCAAAACTCCCCCCAAAAAAACTGGTCGTTTAATACAGTACATGTATATTATGATTCTAATCGACGTAATAATCCCGTGGTTATCAAGCTTTTTATTCATTTGAAGAACAGATCGTCAGTTTATATGTATTACATGTATTTATAACGACAATTATATGTGATGAAAATTGTATGGTTAATAATAAAATTACAACATTTTTTTTCATAGAAATTGAAATTGATTGAAAACCAGCCATTGTCATTGCATGCATTGCGAGCTGCCATGCTTTAATAATGCCACATGTACAGACACTATGATGGAAGGCCAATTGTCATTGGTCTGATTGAAACCCGGTTTAGGCTATCAGCCAATCAGAGTCTATGTAACATATAGGCTGAACCACGACCCCTGCAACCTCAAAAGTAGGGAAGTCCCGTTCTTGTGCAAGGAGTTGTCAATTTCGGCGTACATATGCATGCTAGGTCTTGTCTATTTCTATTACAGGTTTGGTGAAGTGTTTACTGACAGTTACTGACATGCCTGCTATATGCCACAAAAATTCCCAGGACCAACATACCTACTTGTATACTGTAATAAAAGAGGATGGAGGAAACATTGTTTGTTAATGGGTACTAGGTATTCTAGGTGTGGATGCTAATAAGACAATGTGTGCTGTCAAAACATTGCCCAGCATCTTGAGTTGAGCATACCCAAACTTTTTTATGTTTATCGTAATTGTAAATACTTACATGTACTATCTCTATACTATTGTGGCCATGATTCGATATAGTTTGGTGTTTGCACAAGTTAACCTATTCGAATAAGTCAATGAATTTACTGTGGAATGAATCAACCTTCCACCCTCTGCTAATATTATTTTATACATGTAGTTGATAATAAAGTAATTATACAAATTCAAAACTTGCAAGTACCAGTAAGTGTGTAAAGAATGTTTTGTAAAAAATTTATTTATACCAATTGTGATATTTACAAGTTCTTTTGTAAAAAATTATACTAATAAAGGTTTACAAAAAATGGCATAAAACTGGATTACATAAAAAAAATCTGCAAAACAATCAATTACAAACTTTAGTAAACTGTCTAGCAATGGTTTGTTTCTATATGCTAATACATTTTGAAAAATAATATGTACAAGAAAATAACATTTGATTTTTTAAATATCCACAAAAATCAATTCAATTGTATTACAATTTGAGAATATATTACAAATACTACATGGATTTACAAAGATTTTAATGCATTACACATACGCACAATCCTAGTAATCACAGACCTAAAATAAACCGTAATATCCTTACAAAAATACTTATTTCATACTTATAATATACATTTACTTCTTGAAGGACAAATACCTTGTTGAAAATTGAGTTGACTGAAATGCAGAATCTTCCCAGTTAATTGCAAAACAAGTATTTCTTAGGTGTTCTCTGATTAGTATTTCAAGGACACACAGACGTATCTGAATTATTACTATATACAATATGCCAATTCAATGCCAAATCATTAAAAATCAAGAGGTTCCGCAGAGTCTAATTCTGGTATTTGACTGGCTCGGATGGTAAATTCTTTACGACTTGATTCAAGTGTTACTCTTTCACAGACTTCGGCCTTGATTTCTTTGACCATATTCTGAATATCCGGACAGGCCAAGAACATATCATACGCTGTAGAGTGTAATAATGGTTCCAACATCTCGTTGATTTCTTGTAACACAGGTACACTCTGTTATTAATAAACACATGGTGTAAATTATGTAATACAGTATTCATAGTACACTGAATAATATTGATATTGACTGGAAAACTTGAATTACGGTGCATATATCACCCCCTTTATATTGTTTAATGTATACCCAGGCACAATAGGCTTAATTTCAATGATAAGGTGGTAATAGAAGGTTTGTTCATATCATTTGTAATTTGAAGTAGTTTGACAACTTATCTACTTCATACTGGTTATTTCACATTACTTACTCCATAGTCTACAACAAGGAAAATTTCATTTGTTTCTTGATCTTTTTCACTGAGTTGTTTGAGTTTATTCTGTATCAATGATGGTAGACATCTTGGTGCATAAGTACAACCCATTCGCAATATTTGATCCATCTTTTGTCTGTAAGAATTCATCATTCTACCCAGAATGCTTAGCTTCAAAGGCCCCTAGAATACATTACAAGAATGAGAGGGCATTGCATGCAGTTATTGTAATTTAGTGAAAGACTTCTTTAAGGAGGTTATTTTGTGTCATATTCATTATATTGTCATCATTATGGGTTCATACAATTGAGTCAGCAGATGATGTCATATCGGTAGTCATTTTTACATTCTAATTCATTTTTAATTTCTATGGTGCAATTATTTCTTCATATCTCAAATTTTTGCTTGGGTTGAAAGAGTTATTATTGGTGGAAATCTTAATATTGTGAAAACAACATTTCCAAAATTGACATATAATTCAGTCAGTTTCCATGACGATGAGAGCTTTCTATTATCCAAAATTGGAAGTTCTCACATAATTCAGTAGTATGTGCTTTTAAGCTTTCGAATGCCTTGATTCAGTCTCTTCCATAACACCCATATCACATTCTGTACATATGTAAACATGATACTACTGGTAGTACTAATAAAGTAACTGACTCGTTCTTCTGGTGGAGGAGGTGGAGGTGGCTCTTCCTGGTTTGCTTTTTTGGGTTTATTAGGATCTGGTGGTGGAGGGTGTCTTTTACGTTCTTGGGCAGCTGCCAGAGTTCCCGTTGTTTCTAAATCAGAGATAATCAAGTCCTGCATAGATTTATTGAGTTCCATTATATATTCAATCTGGTATGCAGTGCTGTGTAACAACCTCCAGCAGTCTGCTAACAAGTTATATTGCTATGAGAAAAAATACAATTATCAAAAATCAGAAACTTCAATGTCTATGGCTGTGCATAGTATATACTCCAAACTTGTATCATATTATAGCATTATTAATACCAGTGGATTTTATGACGTCATTGTAGCAGATTATTCGCGATAATGCATCCCATTATTGTGCATCAAGGCCCCATACAATAGATATATATATATAATGTTGTTTTCGAAAACAAATAGAGCAGAAACTATTTAAAAAGAGGAGAAATTGTAAGATTTAATATTAAAATCGACATCAAGTAAAAATGGTCTATTGCCAGAACAATGGATTTCAATATCGAATTGCAACAATTTTGTTGAGTACGCACCCCTATGACCAGTTTATCCACAACAGTGACCTAGTAGTGAAAGACCGTGGCTGACACCAAAATGGCGTACCAGTCTCGGTGTGCCGTTCACACAGGCGATCACTAACATTACACAACACGTCAGTCACTAGTCCACTAGCAATGTAAATGATTTAAAAAAGTTTGTTAAATGAGACTGTAAAAAAGAATTTCCTAAAAGGCATTTTAAATTATCCAGATTCACAGGTGGCTGTGAAACTGTTCTGTTCACTGCGGCAGCAAATCCACTGGTATTGACAATAATAACAATAATGAACTCCCCACCAATCCATAATGGAATCAAGCTCACTTCATGCTCCATATATGTACTTGGCTCACACCTCACACATAAATGTCACACAAAGTGACCTTTCACCCATTATGGGTTGACAGCTCATTGATTGTTTTTAACTATAGTACTGAGAAATGTTGAAATATTAAATATACATGTATGCAGCAATTCTAGGATGTTTCACTGTCCATATGCAAACAGTATCATTCATACATTTGTATAAATATAGCAGTTTTCGATCCAAGGCACTGACAGGTTATCGTCAGATAGACAAGCAGAATGTGGTACTGATAAAACCAAAGAGAATGGACTATTTTATTATTCAGCAGCACAAAGTATTATTATATCTGTTGACATTTCTATTTACCTTATTAACTAATGACCTTATTAAGATCCATCTGAACACACTAACATAGTCCTGCTGACTGATAGCAAATTCCATCTGCTGTTTGATATGTACATTTGTTGATTTCACATTAGAACTGCTGTATGGATCGTGTCTATCTTCTGGTCCACCTTGTTGGAAGTGAAACGCAGCCTACAAACAAGACAGACAAGTATATTATTGCATACATTCAACTGTATCTAACAATGTCTAGTTGATGGCTATTGCGTGTGAGTTAGTGGTTATTGTGTGTGAGGTATCAACATTGTTCAGTTAGTGGCTATTGTGCATGGTATCCACATTGTCTAGTTAGTGGCTATTGTGTGAGGTATCCACATTGTCTAGTTAGTGGCTATTGTGTGTGGTATCCACATTGTCTAGTTAGTGGCTATTGTGTGTGAGGTACCCACATTGTTTAGTTAGTGGCTATTGTGTGTGATGTACCCACATTGTCTAGTTAGTGGCTATTGTGTGAGGTATCCACATTGTCTAGTTAGTGGCTATTGTGTGTGGTATCCACATTGTCTAGTTCGTGGCTATTGTGTGTGAGGTACCCACATTGTTTAGTTAGTGGCTATTGTGTGTGAGGTACCCACATTGTCTAGTTAGTGGCTATTGTGTGAGGTATCCACATTGTCTAGTTAGTGGCTATTGTGTGCGGTATCCACATTGTCTAGTTAGTGGCTATTGTGTGTGAGGTACCCACATTGTTTAGTTAGTGGCTATTGTGTGTGGTATCCACATTGTCTAGTTAGTGGCTATTGTGTGTGAGGTATCCACATTGTCTGGTTAGTGGCTATTGTGTGTGAGGTATCCACATTGTCTAGTTAGCGGCTATTGTGTGTGAGGTATCCACATTGT